TATATATATATATAAACAATGTTTAGTAAATACTCGTAATATCTTTTTTTCTCTTCAATGCTTTTCAAGAGACACTTATAGTGTTTCATCAATATTCAATTACACATATATAAGTTTTTTAAAAGAATTAACATATATTTTTTTTTAAATAAATTAATGTAAATTATTATTTTCAATTCAGATCGAAACATGAAAACTAATTTTAAATTATGGTAGCAATGGAGTATAATTAAAGTAATTTATTTATTCTTATTGTTTCAATAAAACTTAAGTAAATTGTACATAACTGATAACACAATATTTATAGATGTTTTACTGTAGTGATTGTAAATTGTTATTTTACATTTAATGAAGCAAAAATATATTTTTGAAAGGTAATTTAACTTGCGTGTCTGTAAATAACACTACGTTTATAATAGTAAAGTTTCTTTGATGTCAGTAATAAAAAAAACTATTATTGTAATAATTTAATTACTTATGTTTATTATAAAATACTTTAAAATGTGTGGGTTGGGTTTTTCACTGTAGCAGTAGATTTTTTTTTTATTTTTGTTTCTTCTGTTTTTTATATATAGTGTTTCACTGTGCACACAGTGCAGAGTGAAACACTTGACTTTTTTTTTTTTCTTCTTTTGCCTATGAGTTTTTTTTTTTTTGGCCTTTTCCTTTATGTTTTTTTTATAAATTTTTTTTGTTCAATTTAGTTTGTTAATGTGAAATTTTTTTATTTAATTATTATATTTTTATTACACGATTTCGGATTTGATGAGTTAACTTGAATTTTTTTTTGTTTATTTTTAATCAATTTTTTCGCTTGACTCATTGATTTTTTTTTCTATTTAGTTAGTAAATTTTCATAACATAAATCTTAGGTTAGACAGATGAACTTGATTTGATAAGTTAACTCAATTAATTTAATTTTTTTTTTCTCATTGGTAATATGCTTATGTTTTTGGTTTGTTTTTATTTTTTTTCAATTAACTTTAAAACGCATGAGTTTTTCACTGTAGCAATAGTTTTTTTTTTCCGCTTTTGTTTCTTCTGTTTTTACATATAATGTATTACTCTACACACAGTGCACATTGAAACACTTGACTTTTTCTTTTTCTTTTTCTTTTTTCATTTTTGTTTTCCTTTTTTTTGTTTTGCATATTTTTTTTTTGCCTTTTTTTTGTGTTTTTTTTCTTTCGATGATTTTTTTGTTAAATTTAGTTTGTTAATATGAAATTTTTTTATTTAGTTATCATATTTTTATTACACGGATCTTAGGTTTGACGAATTAACCTGAGTTTTTTTTTTTCCTATTTAATCAATTTTTTTCGTTTGACCTCTTAATTTTTTTTTCTATTTAGTTAACAAACTTTCATGACGTGAATCTCAGGTTTGACAGGTGAACTTGATTTGACGGGTTAACTTAGTTAATTCGGATTTTTTTTCTTTTTTCTCATTGGTAATATGCTTATGTCTTTTGTTTGTTTTAATTAATTTTTTTCGTTTAGTTTAGGTTGTTAATATTCACTTTTTTTTCTAT